GCAATCCTGCATCAAATGTCGCAGCACAGCGTGAGAAAGACGGACACCGGCAGCGCAAAAGCGCGGGCCGGCAACAGAGGCGGAAACGAACGAAATCAGAAGAACGATGAACAGAACAGAACAGCACAGTCAGCAGGACAAGCATCCAGAACTGCAAAACGCACACGACGTGGCGTGAAGGCAGGCACGGCTGGGTAACTGCTGAAACACGGCCCGACCCGACCCGGCTGGCTTGACGCCAGGTCCCGAGGTGAATTGCGACAAGTGGCGATTGAAGGCGAAGCGGGGCGGGGCGAGGAAGGAGGGGCAGGGTCGTGAGTGGCATAGGAGTAGTGAGAAGTGGCGGGGTTATTGACCGGAAAGAAACCAGCTGGAGATAAAAATCGCAAACAGGTGGAGTTCATGGGGAGGGGGGAAGGGAGAAGAGCCCTCATGGGTTAATGATCGACATGAAACTCAGTGCTCGGGGGAAGTGGGCTGCTCAGTATGCAGCCAAAGCCAGCTTGGATCCACTAGGAAGGCTCGAGAGTGAGCAGGATTATAGGAGGAATTGCACTGGAACTTCGACTTTAATTTAAATGGCCGGAAAAGGTGGCCGGGAGGACCGGGGATGCTAGTTTGGGTGGGGGAGGATTGCAACAGGGGAGCGGAGGGGGGAGCTGGAAGGGCTGCTTAAATTGCACGTGTCCATACGTGAAAACGTAATATAAACCTAAGTAGAAAAAATACAGTAGAAAAGAAAAAAAGATAAGACCGAAGGTATTATATACTGATATCATTTGCTTAATATATAAGAGTCAATCAGAAATGATGACATATATATGCAAATATAATGACGCAAGAAACAATGAAGAAATGCTTTATGAAGTTAAGTAATCCAGTGACTGTAGATAAAGTGAAATAGAATAAATCGAAAATAATGGAAGGAAGGTAATTACAGAAAAATACTGTTTCGGTTCGTTAAGTCGTATACGTTCCTCATAATACCACAGTTGGGTCTCACCAGTACGACGACTGTGGTAGACAATCTTTTTTTAAAAGAACCATGAATGGATAGACTGTTTACCAGAACAAAGAAGTGAACTGGGAAAATAGCGAAATAGTGGAATTTCTAAAACGTATGAAATGTAATAAATAGCGGAACGCACTAGGGTAGTCGGTGCGATCATGCGTTTCGCACAGTTCCGCTCAGCAGACGATTGCTGTTAAGAATATTTACCGCTTTATAGTTTGATGTGCAAAAAAAAACACGAAATTCAATGTACTCACGAATGAAACAAAGGCGTTCATGAAAGCAAAATTTGAATTTGTAGGTTCGCATTGGAACAGAAAACATCCTTCAACAATTTTAGCTTTCTGTTTTGTCTAGCCACCGAATTACAAATTCCCCACGCAAAACTTCACTTCTTCATACCTGAGATATAGGCGTGCGTGAAAGCTGAATTGGAAATTCCAAGATTGTACATTCCAATGAAGTATCAACAGTTTTCTACCTTGCCGGTTCCCAAGACGAAAAGTCCCGCACCAAGACTTCACGCGCCCGTACATGGCTTAGACGTGACTTAGAGTCTAAATTTCCGAGATTAGGCGTAGGCTTAGAATATCACCTAAACCTTTCAACCTTCTAGCTTCTCTAATTCCCTGGTGCCAAAAATCTGGCGCGACCGCACATGAAACCCAGGTGACGTAAGTGAAGGCTGAAATTACACTCTTGAACGTGGGCGGGGAGCATTCCCCCAAAATTCCAACTTTCTAGTTTTTGTGATTCCTGAGTTATTAATTTTGGCGCCAGAAATTCACGTGGCCGCATGTGAGATCCAGGCATGTGCACATGCTCTGTTCAAGTTTACGAGATAATACATGGAGAGGGGCGACTCCCCTGAATTTCAGCTTTCTAGCTTCCCTGATTACCGTTTAATTTTGGCGTCAAAACTTTGACGTGAGGCGACCGTTCGCGCTGTCCGTGCTGCGCAATCAGGGTGTATTTTGGGAAGTCGAATGACTGGTCTGATCATGTCGCGGGTGTCGCTCACCGGTATTTGACATACATCCACTGCCAGCAAAGCGAGTGAAGTGTCATCGGATTTAGGATTTTCAGGCCATTTACAAACAAAATGATTATTCATGCGGGAATTTTATCAATTTACCCACGCTAAAACTAGTAATCTATATATTTCAATTTGTCTGTACTGTTTTTTGGTGATTTTCATTAACATGCGTTTATTTTTTAACATCCTTCTCTCCCTTTTTTTCATCTTCATTCTTCACAGCCTTCTTGTCTTTGTCGTCTGCCGGCTTTTTGCCAACCGACTTTTTGCCCTCCGATTTCGATCTTTTTTTGCTTTTACTTCGCGATTTTTTCGCCTTCTTCGGCTCATGTACCGGCGACTGTGGAGCGCCCTGTAAAACAAATGAAGAAATCACTGTCCCCCTGGTAATGCGATTGTTGCTAGCGGATGGCAATGTCGGAGCTCCATTTCAGCGTCATGAAAAGCCATATGCGGATGGGCCATTACAAAAAGTAAGCCGATATGCGAAAAACTACCATCAGCAGCCCAGAGCAAAAGAGTACCTTTCCGAGCAGCGGACTGTATCAAGATTACCGCTAACAGCAAACACCCCTCAGTGCTTGGTGATCGAGCTCACTGCACTGCACCGATAGGATCCTTAAGGATACTCACTGCAGATGGCTTATTACTCAAAAGGGTTCGCTGCTGAGAAAAGCGAATCGTTTCTATTGGCAAACTGGTAATGATTTGAGCATGGGATGCGGATGATTTGAGTACTACCGGCAACTCTGAATGCACTTCCCACTTTTGGCATCTGTAACTTAAGCCTCCGAGATTCCGCCCGTTCTTTTTCCTAAAGCTTCAGTTTTCAATATCAGGTCTTTGATTCATGCTTATTTTTGCATTATCACCTTTGGTTCCGGTAGCGGCGGCAGTTTTTTCACCTCCACTTCCAGTTCTTTCACTGCTTCATAAGCTTTTTCGGCCAAGAAATGATAATCCGGCGGCTTTTGCGTATTCGCTGAAAGAGCTTTGCGCATAGTCAGGAAATTCTTGAGGAAGGTAACAGCCCTGGCTCAAAAGCACCGGACGTGCTGCAAGTGGAATTATTGAACTAGTTTGCTTGACGAAAAACGCGTCTGGTCAGCACGTCCCAAATGACTGTCGACATTCCTGGCATTGCAGCGAGTCAAATTTGTTTCATTTTATTCGTAGCCGACCCCAGAAGAGGGATCCCATCATCCGTCTCGTTAGAGTCTGCTTACTGCTGGCAAACATGCTATCACTGAGGCCATTCTATCATTCAAAAAACATAAAATTGTGCCAGAAAATTGTCTGGTACCTGTTTGGAGATACGCGTTTATTGCGAAGTATTGCTGTGGCACCGTTCTGAGAAGATACCGCGCCGGACAAAAGACTGATTTCAGGTACTTGTGTGCCTTCAAAATTCAACATCAGTGACATGGGATGTGAATGATCAGCAAGACGGTAGCGCGAACAGATTTTGGAGTTCCAGTTCTCATGAAGCAAAGCCTCTTTGCATTTACTTAAACATCTCCATTTGCGCTGAATTTTTGAAACTGCCTTTCAAATGCAGTTCTTAATTCCATTTTTTAAAATCATAAATATCTAAAATTCTCCATTAATTAAGCTCTTCCACGGCATTTTTTGTAAAGCTACTGAGACCAGATGCGGAATGCTGAACTACGTTGAGAAGCCGCTAGGTGGGTGATGGAATGCACTTGCGCTAGGCATCAAAAAATCTTGTAGAAATGGCGTGTACCCTCGTGTTGTTCCTATAAGTCCAGGGCAGCGGCTGCGTGGGCTCACGTTCGTTGGCAAACAGTTCACATGTAACGTAAAGCCAGGCTATCAGATCGTCGTAGCGTGTTTGCTCGCGCCCCTTTTGCGCATGCCCACTTGCCCATTCCGGTGTGCCACGGAATGGACAGCACGTGCGTGGCGGTCGAACCTGCAAACGTGAATTGCTGCTTTTGAAATTTCTTGGCTGCAAGATACCCGGGCGTCAGAATGAAAGCGACTGGCTACCATGACGCAGTGATTACTAGCAGGGCTTGGACAACTGCTAAGGTGATGACTCGGCACTACTGAAGTTTTTTTTTGCATCCACACAACGAGCGCAGTGGGCAGTTCCTTCGAGTCAAAGCTTTGTGTCACTAGTCAGTGCTTATCGCTTATTTTATGATGTATGCCACCTCTTCAGAGACCCCTGAGTGATGACCCCTCATTCTAACCACTCACTGGTACATGATGCCCACCAGAGGACAGCAAAGTTGCTCTGCATATCAAATTTTACGTTCTATGTGGTCGCAATAGTATCCCGCAGCACGCCGCTCTTCTGAGGGCTTGTCTTTCTTTCGGTGTTTGTCACTACTGACGTCAGCCACACTGGCCAGCAAGGACTATTTTGTTGACGCAAAACTCAAAAGTAAAAATGCGAAAAATTCCGAGTTACATCACTTTCGCCGTCAGTGTACATGCGTGCCATGCCAAGATCAAACAGCAGTGCAACTGGCTGTTCCCTGGAGCACAAACCCATATTATCCGGTTTCAGATCGCGATGTAGAAGTCCTGCAAGTACAGTTGGAACTCATGCCATTCACTTGCAAGCACTTTCGTTTTGCTGGTACCATACTCTCTCTCCCACCTCCCTTGCCTTCTCCCATTGTGAATTTCGGTTACTTCCATCCTCCAGAAGTAGCACTGATATTCTGTGAAAAAAGCGATGCTGTGGAAATCACAGCAATTTTTTCACATATAGCCTTCGACAAGACATTACGCTCAGCATATGTTCATCTTTTGACTCATAGATGAATCTTCGAAGGAGAGACCTTGCGAATGCAGATCATAAATTCCTTTGAGCATTTGCAGTGCAATCCTTGCAGCTCGATATTTTCTGTACGTCCCTTCGACCTGTACAGGAAAATTACTGACTTTTTAAAGATAAAATTTGAGAATTTCATTTCTGTAATTCATTTTCAGGAAAAAATAGGGGCGCCTGCAAGTAACACCCGCTCACCACCAACAGTCGATGGCACTGTCTTCCACGTACTGGGTTTGTGATGCTGCAATTTAAAATATAGAAAGTTATTGGCTTA